TGCAAGATATTTTTGGCGGAAACGGTAAAGCAATGCGGATTGCGGAAGTTGAAAATTTTATGAAATGACATGTTTGCGAAGTGCAAACCGCGATTTTTTAATCAAACAAAAATTTATGACATTCGAGCCGCGAGATTTCATACCTACTGAAATTATATGATATTAGAGCCGCGATATTTCAGACAAAAATAGGACTTTTCCAGACTAGACTCCCAGACTCCCACTCCCAGTAGATATATGCTCACAAAGAAATTTTTTCTTTAATTTATTCAATTGCATCTCAGAAATGGATAAGTTTTTGGCACTTTTTTTCAAAAACTATAATTTCTAGGTTTCTTAGCCGATGACATGAGCCAATTTCAAAGATTTTAGCACCATTTGGAAATTGGATGCTCTTGTTTGTTGTAGCTAGCTTGTAGTTGTAGACTACCACCAAACAGGGTAATAAGTGACGGGCAGCAGGGCAGCCCGGCAGGGTAAATTGAGAGTGGGACAGATGTCCACAATTCTCAATTCATAGAAATATTGGAACATCTAAACTTGTTAAACTATTGCAAGACTACAAATATAGGCATTAAGTTCAACATTTTTACTATCTGTGTTTAAGTGTGTTGGTATGTACTCTATGTAGCATAAACCATAAAGCAAGTTAAGAAATCATACATTTACTACCTCTGAAAATAGTGTCAAAAGTATAGTGTCATAGAATCATAGAATGGCATAGATAGAATTGTGCACTGGGCAACATAGAATGAAAAATAATTAACCTAAACTATGATTTATTTCTCCAAAAATATGATGGTTGTCACTTGTCAATAAAATATTCATTTCTATTTCAGATATGTTGTTTTACATTTTTATTGTTATAGTCAAATGGGGTAAGACAGGATCGCAGCCTTCATGGGGTAAGAAAGGACCGGCCCATGGCATGCAGTCTAATTGCACTGAATCCAATTTGACAAAAGAATATGTTAGAGTAATCATTGCCTGTCATTTCAGTGTTTGTGGCAACCCTCTTCTGAAAATAATGAATTTCTGGCTAATTTTTAAAGAAAACCTATGTAAAGAAGGGTCACAAAATAGTTAACCCTCTTTGGGAAATAAGCTCTGTCTAATGACAAAAATTTTTTTGGTCAGGTTTGTGAATGTAGGCAGGTAACCTCAATTAATACGCAACTTTTTAGACATACTAGGCATTCCTACTTGCTACCATCACTGCCTGACATGTATTCCAAAATGGGGTAAAAAAGAACCGGACATGGGATAAGACGGGACCACTGAATGATCCTGTTTTACCACACAAGTGGTCTGTCTTGCCCCACAAATGGTCCTCCATTACCTTACAGTTTATCAAAAATAGTTTTTAAGTGAATATATTATTGTGTAGTACATGGAATATTTTGGTCAAAATTTTTATCTTTTGCTCAAACTTCATTATAACTTGTTAGCTTTTTTAATTAGAGAAATAAAGTGCACTATTTTAAATTGCATCAAAGGGATATAGAAAATAGGGATGTCTATTCCAATTAGTGAGCTGCAGAACTATGTGCAAGATTGGCTGGGGGAAAAATCACTGTGTGAAACATTAAAAAAAATTATGATCACAACTCTGTGAGAGGGCATGAGCTATGTTTGAAGAAGCGCACCACAAATGCAGTTAGCAAAAAAAAAACACATGACATCTGACACTTTTTATTACCAACATCTGACACTTTATTTTTATTACCAATTTGATGCATTTTTCAGACAATGACACTAATGGAACATACATGAAGCATTTAGCAGTGCTCTACAATGAACCAAAGCCAACCCACTATTACAATGCTTAACAAAGTTTTATTGTGACAAAAACTCCAATGTGACTGTTATTAGAGTTGACTTCCCACAACATAAAACAGTAACAAGTGGTTGTTTAATCAAATAATGTGTTTCTAGATGGATAATATTGAATATCAGATTTGTACTTTCATTAAAAACCTTGTAACATAAGATTTACCAGTTGGTCCTTTCTTACCCCAGCCTGGTCCCATCTTACCCCAATGGGGTAAGATGGGACCAGCTCACTTTTTTTTAATCTGTACAGAAAACTATGTTAAATGCAGAATGTCTGAGTTGTAGCTTAGAAGCCCATTGCATAACTACACCTTGTGATAGGTTTAGGGATTTTTAGTTATTCATGGTATAGATGCTACAGGCTTGTTAGTGATTTTGGACCTGTCTTACCCCATCTGACTATATATATATATAGTGAATTCACTGGACCCAATTAAAATAGTGTGACAAGCTGTCATGTAAGGCCCATGATTGGAATTTTCCTACTTGTTTCTGAAATCTTTCAGCTCCAACTTGACAAATTTTTAATACAATTGGAATTTGGAATATTAGGGCCCAATTGTGCACTTTTGTTAACAATTAGATGGGAGGTAATTCATCTGGCAGAAATCTCACAGTTTCATAATTGGCAGGAAACCTCTATTTGTGGCCCTAAAGGTAGACATTTTCCATGCTTGATGTAAGCTTACAGATACAGAAGACAAACAGAAGAAATGCTATATGGCTGCTGATTTGAAGCTTGCAGTAGACATTCACAAGGTTGTGAATGCTCAATGGCATGTTCATGGATATGGTATCACATAAATAATACAGTAATAATATATCAATAAAGGAAAACTAATAAAAGTCACAGAAAATGTCATTTATCCTACATATACATCATCTTCAAAGGACTTACATTATCAGTCAAGTTCACAAGGAATCTAAAAGCAAAGAAAACACCAAGCAAATTCACCATTTCAATATTGAAAACATTTTCGGAGCCCAGCTCCATCATTAGTTTGAAAACCTAAATATGAATGAAATCATATAATAAGTCAATAAGTCAAAATTCTGATACTGACATAAAACCTAAACAAGACCTAATATTATATAAAAATAAACATGACTCAAAGGAACTACCGTATCAAACATCTACAAATGAAGAGGACTTCAGAGTACTGTTAGTAATAGTTGAGTACACTCTGCATATTTCAAACATGCTAAAATTAAGTTTTATTCCAAGTGTCCTGGATTACCCAGTTCCTAGGGGTAACTTGGGACATTTTTATGCATTTGACACCTTACAAATAGCATATGGAATAGTTTTGGAGATGCTATACAATACCGGTACTTGCAAAGATCTTTAAAACAAGCCCAAACTTGTTTATGAAATGTTTCATGGTAAGAAGTTATTAACAAAAAAACTCTTAAAATCAATCCATATTAATTACCCTGTTTGACGATATCTGATCATTTTGACTGTACGTACGTGGGCAACACTTTAGTGTCGCCCTGCTGAATGCAGACACTTTGAGAAGTTGATAAATTTGATCATTCCATACATTTTATTGGAATCTCTTGACAGTGACATACTGAAATTACTATTACCAAATATTTGTTTTCTTTTGGTACTATATTGTTAAAAAAATGTTCTTGTTCTTTACTTTTACAGTCTGCAGTAAAATAGAAAAATGGTGTTAGCAGATCTAGGGCGGAAGATTACTTCTGCCCTCAAGTCACTCAATAATGCAACAGTTATTGATGAGAAGGTTCTAGATGACCTCTTGAAAGAAATATGCACAGCACTCTTAGAATCAGATGTTAATATCAGGCTTGTAAAGAAGCTTAGAGAAAATGTCAAGCTAGCAATAGATTTTGATGACATGGCAGGGGGCCTCAACAAGAGGAGAGTTATTCAAACCACCGTCTTCAGAGAGCTGGTCAAGGTAATTTACTTTGAATTTTTAGCAATAAATTCCAATACTCTGCCATGATTGTTTTTATTTTTAATGTGCTTTTGCACCCAGTTATTCACAATTATTCTGAGGCTTTGTATAAGTTCCATTAGGTAAATATTACTATTCTATTGCTTGTCTATTTTGTTAATCATGATTTAATTGTTTTGTGTTAATATTTTTATATAAAGAAAAAATATTTTTATTATTCCAAAATTGAAGTTTTGCAATGGAAATTTAATGTTGCTCAAAAGTAATTGTTTTTTTGTACTATTTGAAATTTATATGAAGGAGTTCATGACTTGCTTCCTATTTTTACAGCTTGTGGACCCAGGAGTGAAGCCATTTGTTCCTGTCAAGGGTCGGCCCAATGTGATCATGTTTGTTGGACTCCAGGTTTGTGCTGATTTTTATATTGGGCAAAAATCAGAAGATGCAAATTTTTTACAGAACTTTTATTACATGCATGCACTAAATAATTGCTGTGGAATTTAATTGTTTGTAAAATAACTTGTGTTGTTGGGCAAGCCTTATGAACTGACCAGCTTTGATTAAAAGAATATCTTGTGGATGGAAGGTCTCCCTTTGTGATACTGATATGAAATAATACACTATTTGCTAGTTAGAAATTTTCATTGGAAGATAAATATTTGTAATAATTATTTTTGCAGGGTTCAGGTAAAACAACCACATGCACCAAGCTAGCCTATTACTACCAGCGCAAGGGCTGGCGCAGCTGTCTCGTTTGTGCTGATACCTTCCGTGCCGGTGCTTTTGATCAAGTCAAACAGAATTGTACCAAAGCCAGGATTCCTTTCTATGGCAGGTATGGAATATTTTATTTGAATATATGTTAGCTGTTATCTAAATAAATTAGATATACCGTAATCTACTACTGTAGATTATATCTAATAACCTACAAAGAATCGTTCCTTTCCAATCTAGTTTATCATGTGTGGCTTTAAAAAAGACTTCTAATGCTCATGTGTGAGTGAAATACTGTTGATTATTGACCATTCTTTGTTAATTTTTCATATTATTTTTGCCCCTTCCTTGGTGTATTTTCATAAAGCACATCATGTCTCAGTAGCATCAAAAGTCTTTTATTTATTTGATGATTTCTCTGGCAGCTACACTGAAGTTGATCCTGTTGTGATAGCTACTGAAGGTCTTGAGCAGTTCAAGAGAGAGAATTTTGAGATCATTATCATCGACACATCTGGTCGTCATAAGCAGGAAGATTCGCTCTTTGAAGAGATGTTGCAGATATCTACAGTCTGTGTAAGTCATTCTTAGAACATAATCATTGTTTGGTGAAATTTCTCTTCTTACCTCAAAGTTTGCCCAATTATCAAATTTGAGTAATTTTTTTTATTCATTTGTGGGATGTGGGGATTGTGCAAATCTAATTTTCTAATAACCTTGAGGACTGTTCTAGTTAGCTAATTATATTTAAATTGATTAGTCAACTCTTAGTTTCAATATTTTAGGTCATTGATTGATTATTGAATCATCCAGTTCTATTATGCTTACTTTCTAAGGCTTACTGCAATGTTTTCATTTTAGTTTTCTAGGTCATAGCAAAAACAATTCAAGATATTGAAGTCTTTTGTCCACAGGAACTAATTTATTTTCTAATACTCAACAGAAACCCCACAACATCATATTTGTGATGGACGCAAGTATTGGTCAGGCGTGCGAGGCGCAGGCCCGTGCCTTCAAAGACAAGGTGGATGTTGGCTCCGTGATCATCACCAAGCTGGACGGCCATGCTAAGGGTGGTGGTGCTCTCTCTGCAGTGGCTGCCACCAGGAGTCCCATTATCTTCATTGGTTAGTTTCGCAGGTGCTTCTAACGGCTGTGTTGATTGGCGAGCTGTGTTCATTTAATGTGCTTTGTTCACATTCAGCTTTGTTGTCGCTGGCATGATGTCTGTTTCTGAATATCCCATCAGCTTTGTGTTGTTCGTTGAGCTATGTTGGTGTATTCTTCTTTTGTGTATTCTTAATTCCATGAAATTTAGTTGAAATTTTGTCTTGCAATGACATTTTCCTCTTTTTAAATTGCCTTTTAAACTAGCTGTTATCCAGTCATGTCCATAAAATGTCACTGAATATTTTACTTCACCTACATTTTTGTCTGATCATAAATATTATATTTTTTTAATTTTAATGAATAATGACCTTATACGTCGTTGTAAGAAAACAAATCATGGTGCGTCATAATGAATTCATGAAGCTCTGAACTGTTTTAATTATTTCATAACGGAGACTGCATTTGGCTTCAGAGTTTTTATTTGACAAATAACTAATCCTTTATTCCTTATAGATTTCATACCTCACCGCTCTCAGGGATTAGAGCTTATTTTCTTTTTATTCGCAGGGACCGGTGAACACATAGATAATTTTGAAGAGTTCAAAACAAAGCCATTCATTTCCAAATTACTGGGCATGGGCGACATTGAAGGACTTATTGAAAAGGTTTGTTGCTATTCAGTTCTCATTTGTTGATAGAAATAGTAGCCAAATCTTCTGGAGCTATTCCCTTACGTTTGTTTCAGCCTTGTGTATTGGTGTAAAATACTGGCATACTGACAATAATTTAAGATTTGATTGTAAAATTATTATTTTTTATGATACACCTCTTTATAATGTGGTTTTCTGCTTTGATGCCTCATTTTCTGGCTTAAGGTTAGCGATCTGAAGCTGGAAGACAACGAGCAACTGATAGACAAGCTGAAGCAAGGCCATTTTACCCTGCGCGACATGTACGAGCAGTTCCAGAACGTACAGAAAATGGGACCAATGTCACAGATCATGGTAAGTGTACCTGCCTTTTATATTCTCAAGTTCTCAACTATTCTTAGTATTAGCACCATTTACAGTAGCAATTAGCCAATGGGGTGTCAGATGCTTTCTGTATTTCCAAAATGAACATGGTCGAAAAAAACTGCTTATTTATTGGCTATTGGTTCCGACATTTCAATTGTCGTAGATCACCTATTTCGAGCCACAACATTTCTATGTAAATATGTTATTCTCATGACGTTTTTACACTTTGAATGTGCTTTGCAAATGATTCTGGTGTACTACTAATGTGCTGTTCACATGACGTTGCTACACTACGAATTTGTTCACATGCTGTTGTTACAGCACGAAAGTGCTATTCATATGACGTTGTTACACTACTAAAATTACACCATTCATATGAGCTTGTTACACTTGACATTGTATCGTGTCTGGTGTGTAGGGTATGCTGCCAGGCTTCAGCACGGACTTCCTCACTAAAGGCGGTGAGCAGGAGAGCATGGCTCGACTCAAGCGCCTCATGACCATGATGGACAGCATGAGCGACCAGGGTCAGTCCTATCTTCTATATCAAAATGAAGATGAATTACATCAGTTAATATATTTCAGTCGTCTTACTAGATATAGCTTTGATTTTTTATTCATAAATTTAGTTAAAGCTTGAGAGAAAGTGATTATATACATGATGCGAAAATAAGAGCAAGAGCAGCGCAAGTGAGTCATTGTTTTCCATGTAATGTATTTATACCAAAAAACAGGCACAGTCGTGTGAATTTCTTTCATTGAAAATCTTGTAAAATTTTTTAAAGTTTAGTTCAATTTTTGAAAACAAGAGCGCCGGGAAGAGTGACTGTTGAAACTTTTTCTGTGCATATTGTGCGTAGCCATGCTGCCCCTATATTTTTTATGACAAGTGCAATTCCATAAGGCTGTAATACATTCTTTATTTTTTAATGTGAGTTCACGTATTTATGAAACACGTGATCGCAGAGCTGGATAGTTTGGATGGACAGAAGTTGTTCAGTAAGCAGCCGTCGCGCATCAGCAGAGTGGCTCAGGGTGCAGGAGTCATGGAGGTCGAGGTGAAGGAGCTGCTCAACCAGTACGCAAAGTTCGCTCAGATGGTCAAGAAAATGGGCGGCATGAAGGGACTTTTTAAAGGTATGGTGACGTTCTCTTTGCAGTGTATTATTTGCTAGTTTGCCACGAGCATTCTATAGTCTTATTATTTGTTGCTATGTTATGAACAATATGCATATTATCAATGTTTATGCAAGCTTTCATTATATTTATTGCTTCAAGTAGTTTTTGAATCAGTTTATCATTAATTGTGATAAAAAATTAACTGCTGAATTTGTTACTAACTTCTTTTGTGTTGCACATGATCGTTAATTCAAACTTTTTGACGAACTGCAACTTTTGCTTATTATGACAGGTGGTGATCTTGGTCGCAACGTAAACCCCAACCAAATGGCGCAGCTCAACACCCACATGGCGAAGATGATGGACCCAAAGGTGCTGCATCAGATGGGAGGCTTCAAAGGGCTCGAAAATATGATGAAGCAGCTGCAGCAAAAAGGCGGCCCAGGTGGCATGATGGGAAAGGGGGGAATGGGGGGCATGTTCAAGTAATATGCCCCCTCGATGGACACCAAGCATGTGAGCGTAACTTTTCCATTGCCAAATTGATCTTCGCAAGGTTCATTAGAACTTTACTCTTGAGCTGCTGTGCGATCCGGGGATCACTTTACCCGTTCTTCGGGCATGCGTGGAGGATATTGTCAGTGAATTGTATTTTCAAGGCTCTTTCTAAGTCGTTTTTGATCTATGATAGGTGGAATAGTGGGACTGCTGTGCTTTTCAGTCATCTCGCAGTCCTTGTTATAATATGCAAACGTTTTGGGTGTCCCAAGAATCGGAGCTTCTTGAGTGGTTATACAATCGTGTATGGATTTTTAACGTTTTGATCATACCGCTGCTTCAGAGCGTGGATGAAAGTTATTGCCAAATATACGGTTTAAAACATTGTTTCGGTTCTTGGGACGCCCAGTTAACTTTGAAAATATGCTTTGTTCACACTGAATTAACGAATTGTAGATTTCCCCTCGTTGATTTGGAAGTTAATTCCAATTCTGGGTGTGCGCGAATGGTTCCTTCTCAGCCTTCACTATTTGACGCCGTACGAAAACGACTCTGTTGATCTAATTTTCTCTCGAGAAATCCTTGAATATGATCCTTTTTCACAACTTTTTCTTTGGGGTACAGGTTCTTTCCTTTGTGTGGACACTGTTTGAGAAGTACATTGTCATGTGTGTGAGGCAAAGCATTTGTATGTTTTTTTATCGATAAATTATTTTATTCTTATTCTAGTTTGAATTCAGCCCAAAATATTCGTATGGAGTACTTGCATCCTATCTACGAGCGACTGCTGTGAATGCCGAGACTTGTAACGTCACTGAGCAAATTCCTGGTATCATGCTCCTCGACGTACAGTAGTAACGCAAGTGCTGGAGCCTACGCACACTTGCGAAAATTTCCTTTCTTCACCTAGTTACTTGACTTGCACAAAATATCGATTAATGTAGATACTCTTCAGGATAAATTTTCTCCCCGATTTCTATTTTCATGCAGCTTTACATTCAATCCTGTAGCGACGTATTAGTTACGACAGCAGCTGAAGCATAACTGTCGCCTCAGGAGCGCTTAGGCTACCTTGATTTATCTTGAAATTTCCGAATCATGAACTAAACAGAATCTCAACAGTCCTTTTTGAAGGGTCGATGACGGCCGTTCTGGCAGACTTCCCCCCCCCCCCCTCAAAAGAGGCCAGATTGAACAAATCCGAAGTGATAACCACCCATGTTCATGTTTCTAAGGCATTAGGGCATTGTATACAATGAATTCGTTAGTCCACGAGAAACGGTCAACTCCAAGTCTTGCATGGCAGAGCTCAAAAGACTGCCCAAGATATAATATGATCACACAAAACACCGCCAGCTGGAATTTGCGCCTCGAGAATGTGCCGGCTCACACCTTGTTTGAGACCACCTATCACGCACGGACAGGAATTTCATCGCATCCACAGCAGCTCGAAGTTGGCACTTCAGACATTGACTTTTCGCCTGAGAAGACTGATGAAAGGAAAGAGTTTCGAAAAAACAGGGGATCTCAGGCTCCCAGCAGCCTGAATCACTTGAAAACGATACGTCGCGCGATGAAAACCTAGTGAGACCTCGTGCACTACAGGGCAGTCGCGTTGGAAAACCTCCGTCGCTTACTTTTCGAGTAACTGGTGTTTAGCTGCAGAAATCAAGTACGTGCAGGAGTTTGTCCTCTAAAATATAGTAATTTGCTTCGATTATTTACGCGGAACCAAAAAATGCCTCATGCCCAGCGATAATGCAACACGGTGCAAGTGGTTCTACTTTATAGCAATCGTGACCCGCAGTCAGACACCACCATGGAGGTTCAAGATCAAGAAACGCACAACTCCTTTTGGGCCTGACATGCTTCGGCCGTCTTTATTAGTAGCAATCGAGAGACACTGTTATGGGCAACATTTTATACTGAGGAAAATTTTGTACAGAAATTTTGAAAATGATAACGGGGAAAACTCCAAATAAGACAGTGGTGTAGATCTACCTAAGTTTTTCGTTGTAGAAAGCAATAACTTGTTTCCAAGAATCCTCTTGTGCAGCGCAGTGCTCGTCGGCATTACCTCCCCACATCGTGCCGATCTTCATGATCTCCTGCAACGCCATCTCGCAGAAGGGGATGTTAGGGGGCTCGAGTAGGTGCCCGGCTCCAGGGTATTTCAGAACCTGCAGAATTCAGTGGGAACATGGAAATTACCCAGATTCCGGTTATGTGTAAACCACGCTCCATTCTTGCAATTTAGCAGTGACAGTTGCTAGTAATATTTGATATTGAAATCGTCTTGTACGATACTCTTTTTCGAATTTTTCATTCATGACCAATATTCTCACAATTTGCGAATTCTTCAAACTCGATTTTCGACTACTAGTCAATTACCCACGATTTTTCTACCTTCACTTTGTCGGGTTTTCCGTTCTCTGTGCACCGCTTGACTGCCAGCTCTGCGAAGACTTCGTTGTTAAAAGCTCTGTCTGCCATCGAGCACAACCAAAGTATGTCCCCGTAAGCTTCTTCGACGGGGATTATCGCATCTGGATAATCAGCTGGGTTCGGCGTGAGGTAGTACATGTCCATCACATTGTCCCGGCGCAACTGTAAAAACAAATTGCCGTTTACATGGTAATAACCAAACTTTTTTTCTTTCGAAGTTATATAGTCGACATAACTGTTCGCATCATCCACTAGGTTTTACAAAATTAGAAATAAAAATTTTACCATGATTTTAGCAATATCCATGGGCAATGTAGGTTTCTCAGTGCCATCTTTGAGCTTCGTCGTAGAACCTACGGAGCAGATAGCTCCGTTCACCACAACTGCCGCCTTCACCTAAAAGCACGAATAAAAATTATTACGAAGAAACAATCCTACGGCGCACTTTAAGTATTAAGATAATAGGAAGTTCAAAATCCGTATCATGACGTAATGTATATACGCAAGACCTCAACAACACAGTACAAGGATTATTACTTTAACATTTATTTACCGTCTCACCTGAGGGATGTTCGTGGCCATGCTGAGTGTGAGGTCTCCGCCCTTGCTGGAACCAATCACGCCGACACCAACTTTGAGCACCTGATGTTCAGAATTTATAATTTTGAAAAAAATTCAACCAGCAAAATTTTGTTTTTTCATTCATAGCCCTCATACAACAATGTACATTATCGACACCGTATAAGCTGAGTAACTTTAGAGTTAGCCTAATCCTAATCAATGAAACTACCAGACTTCTACGATTTTTAGTTCAAGATTTATACACCTCAATTTGTGCACGATGCTGGAGCAACACGTTTTGCAGCACTGATCTAGCAGTAGCATCAAGTCTGATCACGGACCTCTTGCCGCGAGAGGAGATACTGGACGGCCTCGTCGAAGTAGGCGATATCGAAGCCCGTTTGCATGCTCTCCTGCAGGTCCTCGTACTGTTCCTCGCACCTTGCCGTCCCTCACAGGAATCCTCTGGCAGCCCTCGGCCATGAGGCGACGCTCGTGCTGCACGCTGCACACGGGCTTCAGGCCACTCTTTTCTGCTCCGATCGTTGCGAGCTGGACAGCTATGGGGCCTTGGTACAGCGATAGTACAAACTGCACAAAATTGGATCACGTTTACTAAAAAAATCCGCTAACGTCAAGCTATAGCTTGGTGAAAAAAATGCTCCGCCGTGACATCTAGTTCGCCTCCTAGTATACTCAAGTTTGATACCCAGAGCTGCAGACACGCTATACGTAACATTGTATCGGGATTTTCAAAAGTAACTATCGGGCATATAATAATTCTAATATCCCTTTGGCATCTATAGGCTATGTTTATGTCAATAGTTAATAATGCGAATAATATTTAGTTGAACCTGAACGGGCTTCGTGACGTCAGAGTAGCTGAACCTAGGGAACAAGGCCTTCTGCTCCACCGGCAGCAGTTGCGCGAAGGGCGCCATGGGCAGCACTCCTCTGAAGTGACCGCCCAGCGCAGGTGTCTTCGTCAGGTCAATCTCGCCGGCAGTGTTGGATCTGCGGCAGTTTCAGTTAGCAGTTAGAATCTTAGGACGAATCGGATGTTGCCAACTCACCGACATGTGGAACAGCCTCCCTGATAGCATCGTTGACGCTCTGTATAAACGCCTTCAAGAACAGACTAGAAGAAGCTATGCAGATGCACATGTTCAGTCTCAAAATGCCTAGCAGGCATTTTACGGACCAGGCTAAAGGTCCAGCAGCTATCTCAATCAATCGTCAGTTATGGAAAGATCGGGTTCCAAAGGTCGGATCCCTCGTGAATCAAGTCACGAAAAACTCAAAAATCGGCAACAGGCCATGGGCCTATTTCTTCAGTGCCGACACTTCTATTCTATAAATGTTAGTAATTTTTTTGAATTGCTATCAAGAAACCAATCCCGTACTGAGGGCACGCTCAAGTTCCAAAACTTTTAGCGGAAGGTTTGTGCCTGCATGCAGACCAGCGAGTGAAATACATAGAACCTATTACCAACAAAATAAGGTGGTATAGGAAACTATTCAACTACAGACTTTTCAACATTAAATACGGTGTGCATATTTACGAATGTGCAAGATTTAAGTTAGGACAGCACAAAATATGCATCCTATCATTTGAAGGATACAAGTATGTATCTGAACCAAGTTAGGAGGCAAGGGCGTCTTGCTCTAGGTCTGAAGGACAGGGTGGCTGGCCGCCTCCAATTTAATCAAATTCAAGCTAATAAAGGCTGGCTGTATGATTATTCAAACTATTAGTTCAGGCTTCTTTGCATTTCATTTTTGGAATTTTTTGTACTAAGTATAATTTTACTAAATTAACGAAATTTTTCATTGGGTATGAAGCCTCTGAAACGGGGCTATAGTGACGCCACCGAAATGAGGCACGAGAGCGCAACACGCTCCATTTATCAACAAAAATCAACGTCGACGTTATGGCTCGCATTTCTATGGGCCATGCGCAACTGCGCATATTAATTGGCTAATCTTATCAGGCAATCTATTCGATAGGAAATAGACCCGAGAAAGTCACGTAATACTCAAGGCCACTGGGCACGCCTTGGCACGAACTTTAAGAACCATCTGAACAAACCGGAACCTTGACCTGGCAAGCATTTTCACCATCGGTGCATTTAATTGCGCAATTGTCTGCTAAATACATTCATCTATAGCCTGTTTAATACAGTCATCTATTGCCTGCTAAATACATTAATTATTCATACACAAGTAGTATTTACTTCACTAATTTTAATTCTTTTCAACTATCGTATTACTCACTTGTACGTCGCGACCGTAAAAAAGGGCACACCGTTGCTGTCCGAGGCCGTGGTGTGGAGCGTGTAGACAGAGTCCTTCTCGAGACCTGTCACTTTGACCGTCACGGACTCGTCCATCAGACATGATTGAGGCGTCACAGTCAGCTCAGGAGAACTCTGAGTAGTAGTTCAAATTACGGGACCTCTTCTTCATTTTACACTGTAATATGTCTAATACGACAATCGATAGTTAAAGCCGGTTCAGAGAACTACTGATGCACATAACAAACTACCTGTTTAGTGTTTAGAAACCCCGTCGGGACGAAGCTTACAAACCATACCATCAAGGTTATTAAAACCCTACTGTGAAGTGTAACAGTCTGGAAACGCTTTCAACGGCTACTGCCAACGAAGTAGTCCATATTAAGCAGAGCCGCTTGTTATATATTTAGAAATTGTTTAATACACGGATTATCATTACATATGCATAATTTTTATAGCTAGATTAAATATTCATACCATTTAAATGAAATGCGAGCCGAACATATCAATACGAGCCTTTATATCAGACGTGAGGAAGCATAGAGTAACGAAAAGGAGTGTTCGCTCGTAAACACTAAACCTCCCAAGCTATCGGTAAAAGAGGGACTAACTATCACTTTACAGAAATATGATATTTATGAACTTCATAATTTTATACAAACTTCTGTTAGGCGGCTAGAGGCCTCACCGTCATTGTGGCGTACCAAGTTTAAGAACACAGGCTTCGCAACACCACCTGGAAGATTAAAAGATGTCAATTTAAGATAGATGAAAGATAAATAGAATGTATCACAGCGCATCTAAATGCTTGAATGACGGCTATGAAGACTAGAAATTGTCGTTCACATGCATGTAATTTATAAATATAGAATATATCTAGTGCAATAAGTTCATTAAATACGGTGAGCATTAACCGGTTAGTGCTTTCACACTGTCACCAGTTGAATACAGGTAGGTTGTAAAAAACAAGGCTGTCGTCTCGCGACAAAAGACGTTTCCAGCGTTGGTGTGTAGTTGACCAAGTTTCATGGTGAAGAGATTATTCTTTAGCCAACTCAGGAACATTCTCTTCCGTAAAATTATTGCTACGCTTCTAAACCGTCTACGTTACATATAGCGCGGCAAGATTTCTACCTCAAATCATTCGTAGCCTTTCTAGAACTACGAAAATCTAACTCTCCAGTCATCAAATAACATTTACTAGAGCAATCTACAGAACTACACAGCAATATACTACCGACTCCGCACTATGGATAATTCAAGTGGACACGTACACATCATATGAAATATAGGTATTACCTACTATACCGCCAATCCCGCTTTCGTTGCCCCAGCCCGAAGTCACCAGCCTTCAATTGACTAGATCTATTACGTAAACGAAGTTTCTATCAAGATCGAAACGTCTTCGTACGCATTTAGAGTATTCTAGCCCCATATATCGCAGTCCTCAACAGTGTTGCCGGTTGCGTGGTTTTTCGTGACGAGCGGCGGCGTACCTAAGTGCAGTGTCAGCTGTGCTGGCTTATGTGGCCTTTAGGGGGTATGCTAGAGCTCTATGCAGTCGTTTCAACGATACGAAATTACGAGCAAATCCACCCTGTATTGCCCATCAACTGCACTATAAGGATAGTCCGCCGAGAATACTTAGACACTGACACTGCACTAGACATAAACATCTACCACTGCCCTTTATCAGAGCCTTTGATATCACCTGAAACGTTTAAGAATGGCTGACTACGTACGGTCACACGCAAGCTACGACGCAGGCTAAATTACCAATCGAATAACTAGGTGACGTAGCGGAGCAGCATTAATATGTCTTACAGGATACAGGTAAGAGGTTTTCAAATTGGTTGCGTGAACTGCAGAGGAATGTTTGTACGGTGTTTTTAGTCTTTTTCTCATTCGTGCAACGGAGAATGTCGCTCTTAAGACGCAAATGTCACGGAAAATAGGATTTAACTAATTTTTCACCTGGTACTCGCGTGACATAAAATAGATTCACTTGAATAGGAGTGAAATGACTGGATGTCCATCAAAATATGGGCGCACGAATATTTTGCAGCATTTGAAATACTGAAACCTCCATAACAAGAAATCATTCAGTCGAAAATTTGTAACTACGAAGAGTACATTAATTAAAAGAACAGCCTCCCTGATATCATCGTTGACGCTCCGAGTAGGAATGCCTTCAAGAACAGACTAGACGAAGCTATGCAGAAGCATATGTTCAGTCTTGAAATGCCTAGCACCTTACGGGCCTTGCAATGAGTCCAGCAGCTATCTCAATCAATCGTCAGTTACAGAAAGATCGGGTTCAAAAGGCCGGATCCCTTGTGGAATCAAGTCACGAAAAGTACAAGAATCGGCAACAGGCAATGGGCCTATTTCTTCACAGCCGACAGTTCTATACTATTCTACGCTTTAGTAATTGATACGCTAATTCCTTCCCAAAGCTAAGTCAATGATATTTATTGTAAGGAATTTTCGTCTCTCTGAGAAAAACCGTCGTGATCCTATGAACCACCTTATTTGCCTTTCTTACCTGCACTGCAACCTAAGGAATTACTTTTTGCGATCCGTGACACGCAACCTTCGAGGAGAGTGATTAGATAATGAGCACGATACGTGAACTTATACTCGTGACTGGTTACGAGTGAAACTCAGAGGGCCTTGAAACTCATTATAATAAAGCTACGGGGAAAATTATTTTTTGCAGTAAGCTGTAATCTACTAATACCGGTCGAAACCCCAGCTATACTGTTTTTATCGTTAGATGCCATACAGTCCGGCGCAATTCCGAGCCACGACGCTTCGGCTACGAGCAGAAGTTATATTACAAATTGTAGTAATTTATTTTCTATCGTGGGTTTCCACGTCAACAATTTACTTTGGGAGCAAGTCTATTGCAATTTAAATAACGAACGTTGTAAAAGTGTCGGGCACTGTGGAATGTCAGGCACTGTAGTGGAGGCAGCTGCATTGATCTCCACCAGAAGGAAGTTAGATAGGTTCATATCAATCTTTCAATTCTCAACTGGGTTTCTATTTAAAATATTTCCGTCATATATAAAAGTGTATGCGGATATCTTGCACGAAGGCAACACAAAACCCCAAGAGGTAAATATCCATAAAAGATGAGCATTATTTACCGAAACTTGTTCTGATTCCAGATAATACTTCTCATTCTCTCTCATCTTCAAAATACCAAGATCCTGATGCGCATTTTGACTACAACTTACGATGGGATGACCGATACCTCAGCCTGAGTGTGCTGGGAATAATCAGTGGAAGCAAGGTATGCCAAAAGGAGATTCACCTCACGTTAACAAGTAAAATTGTCCACTTCGAACTTTTATGCAATTTCTAACGGTATCTACACAATATCCCTTTGTACGTGAGTGGGATTTTCTGGCATCCTTTCAGTGCTGCATAACGTTGTGTGAGAAATTATTACGGATGTTTTCTTTAACATGATAGCATTTAATTTTGGGAAGAAATTTCTCTTTGAAAACAGCTTGAATATGATGTTTATGATTAGGTCATTAATATTTTGACGTTTTTGCGTCCGCTGGCTCATGACGCCCCTGAAAATTGAGCCAATCGACATTTTGCCGAACTCAGCGACGGACGCGTAATAGGAATCAAACACATGAGCGCAAGTTCTGAGCTTGTGTCCAACGCATAACTACGTCAATTGTTCTGAACTAAATATACCGGCCAGAGGGTCTCTTGGCCTGCCGCTGTAAATTGCTTCAATAGATAGGAGACCCAACATTCGTAGCTTATCGAATTCATTAGTCATTTCATAAATCAATCTCATTACCCCTGTAGTACTGCCATGGTTGAATAAATGAAGATATTTCGGTGCAGTTTTTAACAGTCTGCTCCCTAGAATTTCCCTGTGCCAGTTACCCTTGCATTGCAATTCACAATTGTAGTGCCTGTCAGTTGAAACATCAAGTGGATAAATTTTATAGTTTTTTCGTACAAAAAATTGTATCCCAACTTATTTTCTTTCTATTATTTCTATCAGCATCAAAATCAGAATCAATTTTAGCAAGTTAACAATTTTGCTGAGAGTTTGAGATTAATCACAAGACAAGCTTCTAAACTTTTACTTTAAAAAATCGACAGATATTTAACTCAAAAGGCTTCGAATGCTTTGGCTTAAGCTAATGGTCTTCCGGAGAGGAATAAAAACGATACAATTTAACCTTGTTCAAATATGTATTCCTTCTATGAATGATAATCAAGTTATGATTCAATGATAGTTTAATGAATGAAAGTTTCAAATCTATTGATTTTAATTTAGATCTGTGTCTAATTTAGGGGTTGAGGCGTTATGAAGTTGCAAAAAGTAGCCGGCTATTGCCGTGCAGTAGCTCACGCACTTCGTCTAAATTGCGCTAGCGTGAACTAACGATCACTGACCGGTGATTTCCATTAACATTAATTATCAATCAATTGGGAATCGAGTTATTTTTATAGATTATTTTATTGAAGTTTATCGTTGAAGAATGCAAGAACTTGTTTCCAAGCGTCCTCTTGAGCAGCGCAATGCTCCTCCGCGTTGCCTCCATTCAACGTGCCGATTTTCATGAGCTCCTGCAACGTGATGCTGCTGAAGGGGATGTTGGGGGGCTCAAGAAGGTGTCCCGCACCGGGGTATTTGAGAACCTGAGCATATATTATAGGATAAATCTTAATCAAACGTATGAATATGATGTAGAAAACCTGATTCGAAGCGAATGACGATGACCGAAAGCAAATGGTGATTGCCGAAATTTCTCATTTAATTTCTAAATTTCGTAGTATGTAAGTGATAGTTTAAGAGAAGTGGGTAGTGTACAGTAATATTGAGACAACGTCATTTTCTCGTTGCTGGAATTCGAATCATAGGGGTGAAATTCAAAGAAGAATCATGTGAATAACCAATGATGAGAATGATTTGAGATTTATACTAATGATTTGAGATTTAAGCAAAATAATGAAGTAAGAATTCAAACCTTGCAATGTATTAGATCGTTAGCGGCAGCCTCACCTTAACCTTGTCGGGCTTGCCGCGCTCGGTGCAGCGCTCGACCGCCAGCCGCGCGAACATCTCGGTGTTCATAGCTCGGTCAGCCAGACCGCTCAGCCAAAGGATGTCGCCGTACGCGTCCTCCACAGGGATGATCGCGTCAGGATGATCGGACGGATCACACATGGCGTGGTAAGTTTCCATTACACCGTCCCTGTGCAGCTGATGACAAAGACGATTTATCCAACTGCTACACGCCTAGTTTAATCTCGATACATGAGATTTGCTATAAATTTAACATTTGTGTGTTCATGTAAAAAAGAGATAGAAGGTTCCTAATACAAGACAAACAGAAAATAAAATTTGAATCAGGTAACCTATATGAAATATAATTTTTCGATCATTGAGATATTAATCTATGAAGTCATTTTAACGTAATCTAAATGGCTAAACATTGTCATTGACCCATATGAAATCTAAAGTTCGTTAAGTTTTGGAGAACTTGAAGGTCACTATGAGCGAAGAAACGTTAAATTTGTGCTTGAAAAAACTGGCGAATAAAATTTTTTATACATATCAGCTCAAAATAACTCAACAAAAATCTTTTTCGGTAAAACATGCAAACTGAAATTGATGAGCTCCGACAAATAACATTGTTTCTTAGGGCAAATATATTTGCAAAAGAAATTTGCTGGGCTTAAGAAAATATGATATAATTACTTTCTGCGTCAGGATTTACTCACAACTAATCTCTCGAATGCAAGAGGCACAACAGCTCTGTGGGTGCCGTCAAGGAGCTTAAAAGCACCAACGGCCGAGTAGATGCCACCGTTCACGACGACCGCGGCTTTGATCTGCCAAGAAGATTCTTATCAACATTAAAATAACCACATTACATGGTGATAAATATAATAAGTATAGCGGTTTACGCAAAGCACGGTAGTAATCAATTCGATTAATTATTGATTAATTACTTAAGCAGGCTTCATGTGATAAATTTATAAATTATAACAATCATGCGCAGATTTTATTCATGATTTAAATAACATCATTATATTGCGGTATATTTGAGAGAAAGGTAAATTTGATTGCGCTAGAAACGGTTGCTAATTTATTCCCTGCCGGTTTGATTAGGATAATTAATGCACAATGACATAAATCACGCATAGATAGAATTGATGAAAATAAATGCGCAAATACTTATTTATTCTCAAACTCGGCTTTCAACTTTAAACCAAAGTATAAGGAGCTCTACAGGTTTCCAATCCATTATAATTTGTTGTTAAAATATAATAAAAAGCTACGTCGATCATAGGCAGAAGAATATTTGTAAATGGTTAAAATCATAAAGTACTTTATGAGAAATGATTACACTCGAGAGATTTTATAACCCTGAAAACACAATAATTACCACTAATTAAAATATTCATACCTGAGGAATATTGGTGGCCATGCTGAGGGCGAGATCTCCTCCCTTGCTCGACCCTATCACACCAACGCCAACCTTGCGTACCTGTAATTCGAATGACGATCGCTAGTAGATATTAAATGTTATTTTAACTTGGAAACACGCATGCTTCAAGAAATAAAAAACAATTTCACAAAAGCTGGAATTGATACAATTGGCTGAAACACCACTGTCTCAATACAGGATAAATGGTTTTCTTATAAGTGAAGAGTTCCGAGAACAGCAAGACTTAACTCCATTTCTCGATTTGTGTTGTCGTAATTTCAAAGTCAATAATGCCATCTAAATTTTCGAGCACAAATACTCTCTTTATCACTCGACTTCTCTCGAGCGGGGAATTGTTACGTCTTCTTTACAGAAAATTCACTAAAACGTTCAAACAAGTTGCGATTTGGCTTCGCTAAACCACGGACCTCTTGCCGCGAGAGGAGATACTGGACGGCCTCGTCGAAGTAGGCGATATCGAAGCCCGTTTGCATGCTCTCCTGCAGGTCCTCGTACTGTTCCTCGCACCTTGCCGTCCCTCACAGGAATCCTCTGGCAGCCCTCGGCCATGAGGCGACGCTCGTGCTGCACGCTGCACACGGGCTTCAGGCCCAGCGCTGCTCGCGGTATGATGACTTGAACCGCAACGGGTCCAGCGTAAACTGACAGCGTGAACTGTCAATAAAAATTAAACAGGAACAATTAGTCCTTATGACAAATTCATGCCATCTTGAGCTGGGAACAAGGAATAGTCCCAGATAATTCGTAGAATATAGGGGACGTTTGCAATACAAATTAGTAAATTTTCATTAGAAGTAAAAAGACTGTCAGGCATGCAATTAGTTTAAAATTGAACAAAATGACTTTAAGTTCACTCTTGCTTCGTCCACAGCTCAGCAGGATTCGACTAAGGCTTTCATAGGCGAAAATTAGCATTTCCAATTGTATTATACAATGCGTTAATATTTCGTCGGTCACAAAAGTGCAATACACTGAAAACAATCTTAGCGAAATTTTGCAATTCGAATGAGACGTTAGTTTTTTACCATGTTAAAATCAATAAATTGATCAAAGAACATTCAGGCTAACCCTGGAGAATAAGCAGAGTTGAATACATGAAACTCCGACACTCTGAGTACCTTTACTCAGCATTGCGGTGAAAGATTAGGCGGTTCTCAAGCTTCCGATGAAGAGAAAGGCGCAGGTAAACAAATTATACAAGTTTAATTAATGACAATTTCTGCCCCCTAATTCTAGCACACATGTTACCTGGACAGGTTTAGTGACGTCAGAGTAGTCGAATCTGGGGAACAAGGCCTTCTGTTCCACCGGCAGCAGATGAGCGAAGGGCGCCATGGGGAGCACGCCCCGGAAGTGACCGCCCAGCGCAGGCGACTTCGTCAGATCAATCTCGCCGGCATCGTCAGACCTGAAATTGGGATTTTCATGAAATAATTTCAGAAATTTGATTAAACGGTCTGCTACAGCTACGCGACATTCTAGAAAGCTTGAAAAATACGGCAACGTGACATTCACGAAAGATTGAAAAATGGGCCCCTGGTATGGCCCCAGGGGCCCCTACTGCTATACTGGAGTTAATGAAGGCGTAAAAATTTTAAATGGTAAAAACTCTATTATTTAAAGGAAAAATTTATGGAAGCTGCATTCACATACAAAATGGAAACGAAAATCATGCACAAAAAGTATGCGAAATTAATCTCAAATTATTACTTTGGAAAATGTCATGATTGACATCAGAAGCTGATGTCAATCATATGTTCAACGAAGGAACATTTTATTTCGTAGAAAATTCATGTATATTGTAACTAACACAAATGTTCATTTCAATTCATTTCAAACTATCGTATTACTCACTTGTACGTCGCGACCGTGAAGAACGGCATGCCTTTGCAGTCCGAGGCCGTGGTGTGGAGCGTGTAGACGGAGGCCTTCTCCAGACCCGTCACTTTGACCGTCACGGACTCGTCCATCAGACATGATTGAGGCGTCACGCTAATGCTCTAAAATAACACAGATATTCGGATGTATAACTAAAACTGCAGAGTCGTGATTAACAATATCTCCTATAATATTATATAATTTATATTCTAATGATAAATGGCGGTACAATCCTTCGTCATTTAAGTTATAATAATAAATGGCGGTACATTTGCAATGACGTAATTTTGTTTAAATTATGACTGAAAACTAGTACGCTCGAGAGATGGTGCACTAGTAGCTCAGGTGCTGCTTTTTCATACGACCGATGAGAAAATAAAGTAAAACTAACTGACGAATTATAAATTAAAAGCTCATGAAACCAATTTGTATTTCATCATAGGAGACTTACCGCCATTCTATGGTCGAGACGATCACCGTTTTTCCAATGAAATTTGTGACGAAGAGCGAACGATCTGGAGAAAATTTTATAAATTGTTGTAACTCAGAATGACTAGTTGGTTTTGATTCCGACATCGAATTGTTATGAAAGTACAGCAAAAAAAAAATATTATTATTATTATTAAAGTCTTAACCAAAAAATAACTGACGAGATTCATACTGAGACATAGAATTTGCTTTGAAAGTTAACCAGTTTGAAACTTCGTCATTTCGGAAATAACGTTTCGATTAAATCACTGAACAGGTGTGGGGTATTCATATGGGAGCAAATGTACGAAGATTCAGGTCAAATTTAATTTGTCATTAGAATATCATATTTTAGAGATTCAAGTCCCCGAAAGTCTTCCAACGCGACAATTCGCACGAGAATGAAACTACCCTAAACCAAATTAATAAAAAACTAAACCAACTAGAATTAAGTGCGTCTTCATGTGCAGACGATTGTTCAAGAGGAGTCGTGACTAGTGTCCATTATTAGAAGAAGTGTCATTACAAGCATCGTGGCAATAAAATTATTGCTGCAAACCCTTTACATTGCTTATCTCTTATTCGAGAAGTTCCGGTTGGGAACCGCGTTGGAGCGAGCAAGCGTCGAGGATGTCAGTCTAGCTAGGTCTGTGCGATCTTGCGGCCAACCAAATCTCCCACCGCCTCAACTATAATGATTAGATAAGACAAAATAGGCCGACACGGATACTCTCGTACTTGACTGGGCGGTGGTGGCCGTCATTCCTGAGTAGCAACAGTGCCTATATGTCACTAATCTTCGGTGATATTTTCGAAATTCAATTTATAGCCGAATAATTCCCTTGAAGCTTTTGGGCCAGCAATACTTCATTATTAATTACAAAATTCAATTAATAGCCCAAACTTTGCTTAGAAAATACCAGGACTGATGATACTTTCCAAGTTTTTAACCGGATCGAAAAATTTTTTTTTACCTAAATCCAAAACGGCGTAATTATTAACAATTTGAACCTCTGACCGACGTGGCAAGAGTACGGAAAGACTGAAGTTGAACCATTCGAACTAAATTTCTAACTGAAATTAGCTATAGTAGTCGTAATCTTTTAATCAATGTATTTCTTGCTTTTTTATACCTCTCCAAAAATATACCAAGAATAGCTTTCATGTATGAGAAGTTATTTGACTACACACATGTTTACGATTCTGACAAAGTTTCTTCATTCCCCTTAAGAATATTCTCAATAAATCACCGAGTACACCGACTAATCTGTATTCCTGCCGGTAGAATTAAAAATCTTGTTTTCAGTACTCTATTAGTATTGTATTATTTGTATACATTATTAAAATTATTTCATGCTAAACACACATGGAAGCAAGCAAGACTATTCAAGCGCAGCATTAAATTATACAAACTTAACGTTATAACTTATAACTATAGAACATCAATAAAACTATGAAGGTTGGACAACGGAATTTGTAACCACGAGGCACGAATCTTGTTGCTAGGTAGCTACAAGGAGTTGCGTCCAGCCACAGTCCCTCGATTTGCTGCAGGACCAAGCGTCTCCGAAGTCTATTGTGATACACTACTGAAAGCTGCAATAATGTGTTTTTTTCTACCCTACCAAATGAAAATGCACCTAAGCTATATTTTACTCACCAAAGCGGCCAAGATGTAGTTTACTTGTATTTGAGACGAGATTTTCTGCGAGGCAAGCCGCTCATTGACCGAGCTGCTTATTGCTCTGTTGATGGCCGTCGTGCCACTGGCAGGCAAGCCAGGCAACAGCGCTTGGGACTCAAGCGAGCCTACGCCTGAGCTCCGCCCCACGATTGGTGGTACACTTTGTGGTGCTGTGCACACCACAGCAGGAATTATAGACGCCAAGTATTGGAAGGATACACATTCATTCATTGTTTCATTTCATTTTTATCTATAATCATTTATGAATATAATATTTTATAATTTACTAAAAAATTAATTAATGGTGGACCTCGTATGCATTGTCAAATGCTTGGAAAAATCATTAATTCATTAGAAAAACGATAAAAACGATCTTCGGGTTCTTAATTGCTATTAACATTTTTTAATATTTATATTTAATATTTAAACAAGGCAATAAAAACATGTGTTTCAAACATTTATTTAAACTTGCAAACAACGTAACAAAATATAAACGGACACGTAAAAGCCATTCGACAGAATTAACTGTCATTCTTTTGTGGGCATTTCTTCGAAAATATACATAGTAAATAAATATATTGTATTTGTGACATATACAGTAGAAATTTACTCAACTGAGTGAATCCAACATGATTATATCATAAAACTTAATGAATTCCTGAGTATTTATGTCATATGAAATCATTTAATCTATATGATTTACAAAAACACATGGAATCTTGACAATGACTGAGCTAAATAGAGGTAACTCATGGGCCGGAAAATATATTTATTTATTTTGCCAGCAGGCATGTGAAAAAATAAATAAGCCACCGACATCAAATGGACGGAGAGAGAAGATTTCATGATAAAAGTAATCTGCCATACAATAGTAATTTGTCATGCGAAGCATGATCATTGTTTGTCATGTGTCATACTATCATGAATTTTCATATTGCCCAATATCATAATTTGCCTTGTGTCTCATGGTTATAACTCGTCAAGCGTCACATGGTCATAACTCAAGAGTCACATGGTCATAACTCGTCAAGCATCACATGGTCATAACTCGTCAAGCGTCACATGGTCATAACTCGTCAAGCGTCACATGGTCATAACTCGTCAAGCGTCACACGGTCATAACTCGTCAAGCGTCACACGGTCATAACTCGTCAAGCGTCACACGGTCATAACTCGTCAAGCGTCACATGGTCATATCTCGTCATGTCCGTTGATAATAATTTATCACATGTCCAACACACATAATAGATCCCATGTCACATACTCATGCTTCATCCACTATTTCATTCGACCCTGTTATAGTTTACTAGCAAGACATGCGGACGGAGGCAGGAGTTTCGCCTTAAACAGAGCAATCATCCTGCGCCAAGAGTCGACCTGTGCGCTGGTGTGGCCCACAGGACGCCCGCCCCACACCATACTGCCCATGATCAGGCGGTGGTATGATACCTCGCAGAACGGCACGTAGGGAGGCTCGATCAGGTGACCTGCACCGGGGTACTTCACGACCTGTTATGAATGTGGTTTGATTAGTATACCTGCACCGGTGTACTTCACGACCTGTTTTGAAGACGGTTTGATTATTGTACCTGCACCAGCATCGGCGTCCTTTCTTGATTATTATACCTACATCAACATTTTTAACGGCGTGTTACAAAGACGGCCTGATCGTTTGAACTGCACCAACATGGTTCACGAAGCCCTCCATGTACAGATTGATCCTTTGACATGCATAGACGTTTGTTCGATTAATGGGAAATGTATTTAAGTTAAGGGTAATACCGTGAACTTGTGCAGGTCATCCGATCTGTACTTGGAGTATCGTTCATAGGCAAGGTCTGCAAAGTTTTCGCTGAGCCAGTTTCTGTCGTCCATGCCGACGATCCACAAAATATCCCCCTTGATTTTCTCGACAGGGATGAGGTCTGCGCCGGCATTTTCGCTGAAGTCGACGATCGCACTGAGATCCACTCGCAGGTCACGCTGGATCTACACAACATAATTGTATATTATTGATATAAACAAACAAAAATATAAAAAATATAAATGACAAATCAGTAACATCTATCATTGAAACTGAGAAATTTGCACATTTATAGTCAGGAGCGTCCTCATAGGATTGTCAACTAACCCTCATTCGGGCAGGATCAATGGCCATGGGCGTCCTGATGGGCTTGCCCCGGCGGCGCGTCGAGGTCTCGGCGCTGTAGCAGCAGCCGTTGATGACGACAGCGACGCGGACTTCAGGAATTGCGACCGCCATGTCCAGGACGATGTCCCCACCCTTGCTGGTGCCTATTGCGCCCACGCCCTCCTTCGACACCTACAGGAAATTTGATGTGCTAATGTCACGAGATAAGTTTTTGTAATATTGTTGTAAAATTATCGTAAGGATACACTAATCTAGTTTCACTTATAAATCTAGTTTATACAAAATGCTTATTGCATCCACACCTTCCTTCCAAACCTACCAAATTTCAATTATAAGTCACTTAGAAACGAAATACGACGTATGAGAATTGAGATCACAAGCACAATAAGGATATCTTGCTAGGATTGAAAATAAATATCCAACATCGACATATTCGTGCATTGGAATTACTTGCACGAAGACATATCGTGAAATATCTGCGTTAGAATATCTTACCTCGTCTCGAGAAAGAAGATACTCGACGGCCTCTGCGAAGTATTCGAGATCCAAAGAGTCCATATTTGAAGGCAGGTCTTCATAGTTGAAGAAGGCGAGGGCGAGCGCCGCAACTCCGCGGGCTGCGAGGAGCGATGCTCGGTGCTCCATGAGACCCCCGGCGCTGCCGAACATGTCCACCACACCGGGGAAGGGGCCATCACCTGACAGCAAAGTTCCATTATAGTGATCGTAATAACGCAGAACATTTCCATAAAAGAGATATCAAGAACATTAAAAAAATATATTTTCTGGATAGATCCTAAATCCATTCCGCCGGGGAACGTGCCGTCATCTGAGGAGTAAGATAGAAGTAAACAGAAGTAAAAAAACTTCCGTTGCAGTCGATTGAAATAGGGCTGAGAATCATCAAAATATGTATGAATATGCATGAAGGATTCTGTATTAGTCTTAGATTCCTTGGTGTAGTAAGTGACCTCCGGAGAATTCTGATCATAACATGTAGGGACATAAGTTACGTATGGTAACAGAAACCGTTTCTTTTTTAGTACTTTTTCCATTGCGCAAGCGCATTAAATGTTAGACAGGTCGAAATCAGCGCTTTCGCTACAAAGATCATGCCTCGTCAAAATAATGTATTCCATAAGTAAGACCACATTTAAATCAACGCATAGCAGTTAGCATAGAGCAATTAAAATTAACTTATAATATTTCGACAGTTTTCAAGTGCTATATGGTTACGCTTATAAGGCATCCACAGACCTTGTCTATCACAACATTTTGACCGTAAATGCTGTTAACATGAAATTACATTGCCGAAATAACATTGTTTTTAATGAATAGAGTTCATCACAGCTTTTGAACATCAATTATCCAAGAAATTAAAAAATTTCCACCTAAAAAATGCAGGGCATGCGGGTGATGAAGAGGTCGGCAACAGGTCGACCTATAAAAACAGCCACTGGAGTTAAACATCATACTCAATAGTTAAACTTAACGATCGTACGCACCTGTGATTTTTATTTTTTTGCCTAACTGTACCTTTTAAAGTTTCAGTTGTTAACATATACTCGTGTTTTGCCTCTAAAAACTGTAAATTTCTAAGTTTTAGTTGTTAACATATACTCGTAATACGCAAAAAAGATCATTTTCTCACCCTTTGGCAAGTGAAGCACCCCGCGCACCGTCTTGTACCTCACAGGTATCCTCGAGCAGCCCTCGCCCATGAGGTGCCGTTCATGTCTCGTCTCACACACGGGCTCCAGGCTCATCGACTCCAGGTTCATAAGCATCAAGTGGTGGCCGCACGCGCCTTTGTACACTGTCAAGTCAAACTAAAAAACGCCAAAATATTATATTAACTTTCGAAGAACGGCTTCGTAAATAATGAAAACAATTACTTTTATAATATGCATGCATAACATTGTTTAGTGAACATTTACAAGTCGAGTGGTTGTGTGCGCGCGCCTCTGTACATTGTCAAACTGAAACAGGCGTGCGAGTTATAGTATAGAAAAAAATTCATTCGCACTAAGTGACAAACTCAATTTGCGTTTGATGAATATTTTTCATGTCTAGAATTGTTTTCAACGAGCATTATGAGCCAAATAGCAAAGCACGTTACCACATAATAAAATGCGTTGATAATTCTCATACAACATGTGTAAGGTAGTAACTTTATTGAAAAAATCGAGGTGTTCTCAGATTTTCTGGACCTTGGGAGAACGGAATCGTAAATATTCAGCTACCTTACTTTTATAGAGCTTAATTTTGATCAGATGGATTGTAAGAGAAGTTTGGTGAGGTGACCACCCAAAAATTTTGGGCCATAGACTTTCTGGCTAATTCTTTCAAAAAAGAAATAAATAAAGTTAGATATTTAAATTTCCAAAGAAATAACTGAGAATTTAATTAATCACGGCAGGTTTGGTTTAGACGGCAGACGTCACGGAACAACACGTCACAAAGTTTAAAATATCATATGTCCACAAGATCCTATGAAATAAGTACTAATTCAATTTACCACGGCAGGTTTGGTGACGTCGTGAAAAGAGAATCTCGGGTCCTTAAGTTTAGTGGAGCCCGGCAGGATGCTAGCGAAGAGTCCCATAGGGAACTCGCCGGTGAAGTGGCCGCCAATGGAGGGCGTTCGCGTGAGATCGATCACGCCATGACAGTCAGATCTGCATGCCATCATGAGCATAATATCATTAATTTAACAGAACATTGTTTACGTTAACGGAAGGTGAAGCAGCAAGTACGTTAACGACAGGCAAATCAGCAAGTACGTTAACAAAAAGTGAATCAGCAAAAACGTTAACAAAAGACAAATCAGCAAGCAAGTTAACGGAAGGCAAATCAGCAAGCACGTTATCGAAAGACAAATCAGCAAGCACGTTAACGAAAGGCAAGTCAGCAAGTACGTTAACGAAAGGCAAGTCAGCAAGTACTTTACCGGAAGGCAAGTCAGCAAGTACTTTACCGGAAGGCAAGTCAGCAAGTACTTTACCGGAAGGCAAATCAGCAAGCACGTTAACGAAAGACAAATCAGCAAGTACGTTAACGGAAGGCAAATCAGCAAGCACGTTAACGAAAGACAAATCAGCAAGCACGTTAACGAAAGACAAATCAGCAAGTACGTTAACGGAAGGCAAATTGGCCAGTGGTCAGATTTGGCTTAGGTAATTTTGGCGTCGAGCCTATCTTTGCGTGGTTGAATTAATACTGTATTAATTCAACAAATAACAACAATGTATCTTTGCACCTGTAATGGGCGACAGCTGTGAAGGGCACGCCCTTGCAGTCTGTGACGGAGGACTGCAGCGTGTAGACTTGATCAGGCTCCAGCCCTGACACCACCACCCGCACTTCTTCGTCCAGCAGGCAGCGCAACGGACGAACTTCTATCGCGGGAGCTGCCGTCCTCTGTGATTTATGATCACGGACATAACTTCACATTCTTAATAAATTATTATTATTTCATTAGTGACATGGAGGGACATCATTTCAAACAAAATTAATTAGTTATTAACTGAATTTGAACCCCGCTCGCTACAATGGTCACTTATACATATGTAATTTTATTAGTACATAAAATTCTATAATGATAATGATTTTATTAAGTACATTTAATAATTAAGTACATTTAAGTTGTGTTCAATAGGTTAATATATAATAATTTCGATACATCATTATTATTTATAATACTTCTTAAAGAGTTTAATCATTATTATTATAATTTGCTTCTTAAAGAATTTCATATTCAACTTATAATAGCTATTCAATTTTTTTTACTCGATTCTGTAATTCTATAATATACGTGATGAATTCTGCAAGTGGTGTGTGTAATTACAATTTGAGTCGTATTTAGTCACGAAATATTGAACGAAAACATCAACAACTCCCACATTTTTTATTGCATTTGAAAAGCCAATTTGTTCGTTTCTTTAACTTGCATGTACACATCAAATAAATATTGCTCTTCTTGTAACACGTGTCGTAAAATTTCAACGCGGAGCGCAATTTAATTTAATACGCTTGCTAATATGCCTCATGAGTTTAAGTGAACTACGTTAATGAAATATTAATGGAATCTTACCGCGAGCTGAGGAGACCAGTCGTCAGCTGAGGCTAGGTCAATGGTCGTCATAATTTGTGCGTTCAAACCGTCGCTTCCAACACACTTACGTTAACCTGCCCCTGTAGCATATATACAACAATACATCAATATTAGTATAGGCTGGCAGAATTTCTTCTCTTAAGCAACTATAATAAATGTAATAAATGAAATTAATTCTCTGGTCTTTAACAAAACTTGCTCAATACATCAATGTGTACGAATGTGGCAGTTCGAGGTGTGAAATTACACGAAGTACAATAAACTGAACTTCTACCGGGGGCAAATACACTAATACATCAATGTGTAAGAATGTGGCAGTTGGAGGAGTGAAATTCACTTAAATTTTTCATTCACTTAATTAAATCTTTCATTCACTTAAGTATTCAAAATTTTAGCATTGTAATCCATCTAGGTCAGGTACAGAATATTCACGTAAATTGAACAAGACGCATGCGTTCCAAGTGCTAATCAACATAATTTTTACTCCTTCGTTATTGGACACCAATCATTCAATCTTTCTAAACCATCTATTATCGCTATACGCTCTCATTACCAGCTCTAGCCAAGCGCACGAACTGAAGAGAATAAACTCATTATAAAGCAATCAAGATTTCTAAAAAAACATGTTATATAAACAGAGGAGGCCAGAAAGGCAGAGGAGACATTTTTTACGATCATGCACAACAAACGTTCAACCATGGATGCGTCGAGAAAACAAGCATGGATATCAATATCTGCTTAATTCACATCATGACAGGCACAGTTCAACAGAGAGAGAAAAATATGGCTACTTCTTCACCTTAAAGCCGACAACAACAACGTGTTTGCCTATCTCTATTACCTACAAGCTGTATTTCAGGGAATTGAGGAGGCCTACTGATAAATAAATAAAACGGGTAGTTCTGGTTTTAGAATTTTCTATGTTTTGAATACGGACACAGCATGCGCATTGGCGAAAAAACTTTAACGTTGCACTAAACTTTTTAAATAAACAAAATCTTGCATTAGCACCATATTTTTGGTGCACATTAACGCAAAAACATACTCAAGAATTTTGCACTTTCAATTGATTTCAAAACATTTCTAGTTATCAGGAGAACGCCAGTGCATGGAGTTTAGCAGGACTGTATCAATAAATAAAACCAAGGAGCCAACCTCCCCCTTGGATTAATTGCCACATATCCGCCCCCTCACTTAAATTTGCTGATGTGAAGTGCAAATACACATTCAATTTTCAACCACTCACCACGGCACTGACCACGCTGGACCCTGGGCGGTAAATCCTCAGTTACTCTTTCCCTGACGCCAGCGACTACAACTCACTGAAAAACACGTCAGAGTTTATAAGAATATAAGTATTTAGAAGGCAGAACCGCTTTTATATCGGTGATAATGAGTTTCACACAACAGATTAATTACCACGCAATACAGGCGTGCGTGCACACTGACATCAATTACCCACCACGCAATACAAGAGGGTGGTGAGACAAGAAATAGAGACCATGCATGGTCTCTATTTCTTTGCATGGGGTGGCTGAACAGGGTGATACAGCCCCCAGCCTGATAATTGGAGGGACTTCAATCTCCCACGTATCCGTTGGACAAGCCCTGGCGGCTTAGAGTTCGATGACCGTGACAGATGTCAAGGAGCCAAACTAGTGAAGTTTGCCGCGAAACACTTGCTCAGTCAGCAATTATGGCTGCCGACAAGGGAACACAATATCATCGATCTCTTCTTTGCCAATAATGAAAGAATGGTGGTTGACGTTCGGGTTGACGAGACCTCACTGTCTGACCATCGCTTAGTGAAGGTGGATACGACAATTGGAATTGAAACCCAGCCCAGCTAGGTCCATACCACAAGAGGGACTGGCAGGACTTAACTTCCACCATCTAAAACGGATTGGGTGGGAATTTGGAATGAAATGGACAAAATCAATTGGAGATAAGAGTTTCACGAGATGAATGCAGAGGAAATCTGCACAAAACAATGTGAGAAACTAGCACATGTACGTGTGCGTCATACCCCGAGAAAACAGGCCCTAAAGTCCGCAGCATTTCGGGAGACCGACGAATCCTCATGAGAAAACGCAAGGGATTAAATAAACAAACACCTGAAACCACTAGTGATCTGAGGAGACAGAGACTAGTAGATTTGCACAAGGAAATCGAACTCCGGTTGCAGGACTCGCACAAGATGGAAGAACAAGCTGCTGAAGAGCGAGTGGCTGATGTTATCAGAGAGAACCACAAGTACTTTTTTAAATACGCTCAGTCCAAGGTTAAAATAAAGACGCCAGTGGGCTCGCTGAAGGATAACGAAGTCATTGTTGGAGATGACCATGGCATGTGTGAGTTACTGGGATCGCAATTTGAATCCGTGTTCAGCATCCTCCGCTACTCAAGACAGGAGAATGAAGTTGAAGTTTTCCAAGAGTTACCAGGCGGAAGGGGGTTGAAGAACATCGAACTTGGGCTAGAAGATATGGAAAAAAGTACCAAAGAACTGGCGACGTTTTTAGCGCCAGGGTAGGAAGAGGTTGACCTGATAAATAATGGACAACATGGTTTCCGGCTTAATCGTTCCCGTTTGTCACAGTTACTGGAGACCATCACCGCCTTATGGCCTTACTGGAAGAAGGAGCTGGCGTGGACGTAGTATACCTGGACTTTGCTACAGCTTTTGACAAAGTTGATCATGGGGTGCTATTTAGAAAGCTGAGGCTGTTGGAGGTAGGAGGAAGCATGTTAAAGTGGATCCACAACATACTCACAGATAAAGTACAAGCTTTCGCAATTGGAAACTCGAAATCGAGAAAAGCGATGGTGAAAAGGGGAGTTCCACAAGGCTTTTGAACCGATCCTCTTCCTCATCCACAATGCCGCTATCGACTCAGAGCTTACCCACGCATCTACATCGTCATTTGCGGACGATACAAGAGTGCTGATGAAGATCACAGATGACCTAGACTGCGAGAGGTTACAGGATAACCTGTCAATAATCTACGATTGGGCCCTAGTGAACAAAACAGGAGCAAGTTCGAAGTAATGAGATTCAGAGTTGGCACAGAAACCGGGATGCCACATCGCTACTTGACATTGGAGAACACAGAAATTGAAGAGAAGCTAACTAGTTCGAGATCACGGAGTGTTGATGAGTACCGAAACCACGTTCGATGCCCACATCGAGGAAATAGTCGCACAAAGCAGACAGCGGATGGGATGGATCTGGCGGACATTTCGAACGAGAGAAGCAGGACCAATGATTACACTCTTCTGTGTTCTGTCTTCAGAGCCTTCGTGCTCCCAATCTTGAGTATTGCTGCCAACTTTGGGCGCAGCTCAAGGCGGGCGCGGTGCGGAAACTGGAGGCAGTGCAGCAGACCTTCACGTCCAGGATCAGCGGTATGAAGGAGCTGAAGCTGGACTACTGGGGAAGATTGAAGCACCTGAGACTGTACTCACTGGAGAGAAGAAGGGAAAGGTATATCATACTGTACACTTGGAAGATGATAACCGGACTGTCTCCCAACTTTGACAGTGAGACCTCCAGAATAGTGACATATTACAATGAAAGGACTGGAAGACTGTGTAGGATTCCCCCATTTAATAACCTAGCCACGGCCAGAGTACAGACTTTTCATGAGGGATCACTGTCCGTGGTAGGACCGAAGCTCTTTAATGCCCTGACAAAAGTGCTGAGAGTAGGGGAGTTCACCCTTACAACATTCAAGAGACGACTGGACAATTGGTAGAGAAAAATCCCGTATTGTCCAGTAATGGGAAACTACCATCAGCAAGTGACAAGCAACAGCATCTTGCATCAGCAGGCCCAAAGTAGGGCGAATAGACGGAATACGTTCTCCAACGTTACATCCGGGACCAGAGGGCGGGGTGACCTGCCTAGCGACGACTCGGAGACGGAGGACGACGAAGGCGGCGCATCAGCGAGACCGGTGACTAGGAAGTCCCAAATTCATCATAAGGTTATAAGCGTGCGTACACTCACCACGCAATACAGTCGTGCGTGCACACTGACATCAATTACATACCACGCAATACAGGCAGGATTATCCAGCAATAAGATAAAAGAATAAATACAATATTCATGTTGCTAGGGATACCCCGGGGAATGCTAGGTCCCCAAGTAACCCCGACGAAGGCACCCCCTCGTCAGAATAACACCCTGGGGGTTTAGAAAAAATAGCACAATTTTTCCACGTTGATTGTTCCTTCCTTAGGAAATGAATGCAAACTAAGACAGCGAGGTAAACAATGAATAAATCTTCGAGATGACCGAATCATTCATAGAAGTTCGTTTGCGTCGTAGGAAATTTGACAAACATGGGAAGTTTAAATTTATATTGAACGAAAATACAAATTTTTTTAGAAAATTTGAGCCATAAACGTTTAATAATAATAAATTATAACAAGATACTTAATTAATAATACAACAACTACAGCAAAACGTTACTCTAGTCTACGTATATTGGCAAGAGTATCAGATGTAAAATCTAACAACCCCGTCACATCTATACATACTTCCTGATTAAGGCATTAATGTGTCAGCATAGCTATGGGTTAACTGGTGTGACAGGTAAACTGGTGTGACAGGTTAGCTGGTGTGACAGGTAAACTGGTGTGACAGGTTAACTGGTGTGACAGGTTAACTGGTGTGACAGGTAAACTGGCGTGACAGGTTAACTGGTGTGGCAGGTTAACTGGTGTGACAGGTTAACTGGTGTGACAGGTTAACTGGTGTGACAGGTTAACTGGTGTGACAGGTTAACTGGTGTGACAGGTTAACTGGTGTGACAGGTTAACTGGTGTGACAGGCTACAACAGAAATGCTCGTAAACAAAGCGATTGGCTTCAATGATTTACATAACAATTCTGAAAAATAATTTATGTTCAATTATTTATAGTAAACTTTAGTAGGTCAGATGCATGCATGTATTTGAAGCGTGACGCATTAAAAATATAGAGCAATACAATCACGTATCGACCATACCTACAGTGTCAAGATACAATGGTCAGAAATTTGACATTTAGTAGGACATAAGTAGAAGAAATGCATATGTTAGATGTTAAGCAAAAATTTAAATTTAATATTAATAAGTTTTGTCATTCATGCGTGAAAACCCAACCAGCCAAAGAACACCGATTTGAACTGCCAACCCATCTCCCACTACCTCCAAAGCAACGCTGCACCTACCAGCTAGTTATCAACGTATTATTGATAACTAACCAGCTAGTTATCAACGTATTATTGATAACTAACCAGCTAGTTATCAACGTATCATTGATAAGCAACCAGGTAGTTATCAAAGTATTGTTCAAAACTAACCAGAGATTATCAACGTATTATTGATGACTAACAAGCTTGTTATCAAAGTACTATTAAGCTCAATAATATCTGTCCGGTATAAAATCAACCAAGTTCGGCGCAGGTAAAGAGAGGCACAGGCAGAGCTGAGAGTCTCCGACTCGAGACCCTACACTCACAGATATGTAATAGACTTTACCAAACAGCAATGCACTATTTGCCTATATTATACTATTATACTTATTGTCTATACCTACTACGTTTGGGTAATCATGACCCAGTTTGGTCCGGCAGAACATTTGTACAACATGACCCGTATATTTTTTCTGAGAGTAGCTTACCGCCAGATGAGATATAGTACCGTACCATGTTTCCACTACAAGATAGTGCAAACTTCATATTACTATGCTATGACACGATTCACTGCATAAATTCATGACACAATTCAATATTATTCTACTACATGTTCAACAAGAATAAAAATTTAAATACGTTGTTAAAATCATTATGTTTAAGGGGAGCGTCTCGGTCAAAATCGAAAATTTTGACTTTTTCGGTTTTTATACTCATTTTAAAGCTTACTTTCTGCCGCATCTAACGGTACCAAAACCATCTCTGTACGTTGATTTATGCGTTCACGACAGATCGCGAAAGGGTTAGGGGTGGTGGAGTTCCTTAACATTTAATATAGGCCTAAATTACCGGTAGCACACTTAAATAGCTAGTCTGAACACGCTGTGCTTCAGTTATCCGCCTGCAGTCATATGGGATGGCGCTCGTGCCGTCGTTCGCACCATCCTTGACAGAAATTGAGCTCCAATATCTTGTAGTCTTGCAACCTTGCACCCTTGAATGACTTTTTCGAGGTGCGGGCGACTTTGTCGGGCCCTACTGAAAAGTTAACTTATTGTCACTGCAAACCTATCTCCTCCTAGAGTTTTGAAACTACGTCAATGAGACATATACCGTTCGATTTGCAAATGAAAGATCTACAAAATGATGTATCGGTTTTTCTAAGTTCGTTATAGTTCGGATTTTATGTTGCAAAAAGGGGGTGAAAGTGGAGGTAAAATCGAAAATTTCAAACAATTTCGGACAAAATGCTCCCACACTCACAAAAATGAGAAATTCGAAAAACCAATACATCATTTTGTATATGTGGTCTTTACGCATCGAATGATATGTGTCTCGATGTTGTAGCTTGAAAATCCTAGGAGGAGATAGGTTTTCTAAAGTACCCCTTTTTTTTCGTTTTCTAAGAATTTCACGTTTTCTTTCAATTTTTTCGAAAAAATCACTTGAACAAAAATGTCTTAGAATTCTGTTTTACATATGTGTACCAAATTTCAGAATGATCCCTCTGTAAATTACTGAGATAAATTTTTAGGGAGACGCTCCCCTTAATTAATCCACTATGAGATATTAATTACACCCGCAACAAAATTTTTGAACACGATTAAAGGTAATTAGATTTTATGTGAAGGCACTAAGTCCATTGAGAACACTTCTGGCTCATTTATGCGAATATAAACGATGAGAACGTAAATTTTGCTTCACTGCAGTGAAAGATTTACGAAAAACTTATATTATTTAAGCAAGGTAACACAAGATAGACAGAGAGCCATTAACTGCGTGAAACTAAGCATTGATTCTTCAGCATTACAAAATCCAGCTTATTGTTCACATCCATGCGCAATAAGAGTTTAAAGCATAATGAGATTAGGGAGACTTGAGGGAAACAGATCGATGAAGTTACGCTAGAAGGAAATCTTTATCAAGTAAATAAAATTCTAAATAATACATCAAGCCCACAAAATTCCCCACAAGGCGAACAAACCAATAATATTAGGTATTGATGAGCTGATTAAACCTGATCAAAGTGCATATCAGTTGACATCTCATCACCAACTTCACTTGTCAATTGACCACTCATCAACATCATCACTTGTCAACTAACTATTGATCAACATCACTTGTCAACTAACCACTCATCAACATCACTTGTCAACTGACTACTCATCAACATCACTTGTCAACTGACTACTCATCAACAACATCACTTATCAACTGACTACTCATCAACAACATCACTTGTCAACTGACTACTCATCAACAACATCACTTGTCAACTGACTACTCATCAACAACATCACTTGTCAACTGACTACTCATCAACAACATCACTTGTCAACT